CTCTCGGAATTCGTCGGAAATTGTCACGGATTTCCAATACGTTAAATTCCACTATTCAATGCATGTTAAATTCCAATACGTAGGAGAATTACAGTCTCTAGATTTTGACCCGCCCTTTTCAAGGGCGGAACAATATTTTTCATTTTTATTTTTAAAAATGATATTTATTTGTATTTATGTTATAATTTTATTTGTAGTTAGATGTTTTCGTTTTGACAATATATGATAAACACAATACATGCCTTCATAATAATGGTTTGAGATTTGATTATTTGATTTTTCTCTCTTTACGACAAAGGGTAGTGATGATTTGTGCGTGGATATGTTTTATTTTTAGATATAGTTACCAAATGTATAGGACCGGACAACTTGAAAAAAAAACAACACTAAATCTATTTAAATATAATAATTATATGTATGTAGTGGTGTATAATATAGGTATACAATATTTTTATTGTAATTAACATGTATACAAACCATGTAAGTATGATGTACATGGTTGTTTTTCTTTTTCTTTTAGTTATAGATTTTTAGATGTAAATTAATTTTTGAAAGCTCGATATATTTCAGTATTGTTGTAATATTAATTATTATATGTTATAATATTTATAGTATTGCACAATATATATTCTAATTATATATATGAAAAATTCCTAAATACTGTTGTTGTTAAAAAGATCGAATATATGAGGACAAAAATGTTATGAATTTACTTAATATCTTAAAAGGGCTGGGTTAACTTTGACAAATATTTAGATGAAGCCCATGTAAACACAGATTATATTTTAACATAAAACCAAATTATTTTATTAGGCCCAATGTGTAACAGTTTTATTCCAGGAAAAAAAAACGCGAGTTAAACAGCTTTTATTACTTGATAACTGTCGGTGTTCTTCGTTCGAGAACAGATCTTTGACTTTTTTCGTGTCTCTCTCACTTCTTCGATGAACCTATCAATTTCTCTTATATTCTCTACAGAGATAAAGGTTTGAAAAATAAATCTTCTCATCATCAATCTTTTAGATTATGAAGACATGCATGATGATCCGTGTCGCGATCGGCGATAAAGGTTATAATCTACTTCTTTATTTTTAAAGTCACATGGATATAAATTTAATATGGTTCTCATCTTTTTTTTTTTAAAGATATAGATACTCAGATCGTGTAGATGAGAAGGAGAATTGATAGATCAAGACACCTATGAGGTATAATCTGTCGATCGGAGGAATTCAAAGGTGAAAATCTTTCACCTCAATCTGAATTAGCAAATAAGATATGTGTCGTTTAGTAATAAGATTTGGTAATCTCTTTTTTGATCTTGATATACCTACAGTTTTGATCAGAAGGTGAATTGAGAGAATGATTTATAGATAAAGGAAACTCATCTTTCAAAAGGACCAGGCTAAATCAATCTGGTGTATAAGCAACATGTTTATTATGAAAAGATAAGTTTATTGACTTTTCTTTCGATTACTTCTAAGCCATGGTACTCCTTCTTGTATTAATCTTATTCTCCATCTGTTTCTGATTAAATTTATTTAATTTGGTCAGGTTAAGCAGCACGTATATTATGAAAAGATAAGTTTATTGACTTTTCTTTCAATTACTTCTAAGCCATGGTACTCCTTGTATTGATCTTATTCTCCATATGTTTCTGATTAAATTTATTTAATTTGGTCAGGTTAAGCTAACCATTCATAAGGTTTGTTCTGCATATACACTGGAAAAATGTGCACTGGAAGAGTTCATGATAAGGTTAGTCCATATTGGATTGTTATTTTATTGCAGATAGGTGAAAATTTGTTTGACTAAGTTGTTAGGTTGATTGGATGGCTAGTATTCGTTTAAGTCTGACATGAACTCATCTTAGATGGTTAGAGTAGAAAAAAATTCTTTTGAATCAGACACATGTTTGGTTAGACCAGAAGCCTCTATTAGGAATACTGAAATATACACAATCAGCTTTTGTCGAAAAACTTTAAATCATGTTGTATCTGAACTGAAATAAAATAACCAAACAACAGTTTCATTCGGCAACTTTAAAAGTAAAGTTCAAATCAAATGTGTCGTCACTGAAAATAAAGAACAAAACACCAGCTGTTAAAGATTTAAAGATTTTTGAAAACTTCCTTGAAAACAACATTAGTAGTCTTCCTTTGCGGCTTACCCTCTTTATCGACAATCAAAACTTTCAAACCTTTCTTAGAGGTCACTCTTGAAATCGCAACATAAAGCTGTCCATGAGAAAATACTGGCCTAGGAAGAAACAATCCAACTTCAGATAGTGATTGACCTTGACTTTTGTTGATGGTTATTGCAAATGCCACAGCTAAAGGCAATTGTCTTCTACGCATCTTGAAAGGAAGCCTTTTATCCGTAGGAGTGATCAACAATCTAGGAATGTAAACATCTTTTCCGACCTTGTCACCGGTTAAGATTCTAGCTTCCACCATGAAATCCATAAGTTGTATAACTTGCAATCGAGTTCCATTCATTAAACCTTCTTCCGGATTAATGTTCCTAAGCAACATAACAGGACAACCAACCTTCAATCTTAAACTATGATTTGGTAGACCAGAAACTTTAATACTGTTTAGGAAGTCAGAATTCAGGGCCTCGTTATTGACAGATGAAGTATCAGATGGATCAATACTGTCACATGAGAGATAAATCATTTCTTCACCTGATGCAAATAACAGAGTTTCAAAACAGAGTCAGTATTCCAAAATCATTAAGGTAAAAAAATAAAAATTTAAAACTGTCTTACCATCAAGTTTAGATAACATATGATCATTAATCATATTCACATCGTCGTTAGTAGGACACAAAATTGCTCTCTCTTGGAAGAACTTAGGATCTTTCATCCCTCTCAATGAGTCAGTGTCTCCATAAACAGCAACACTTATAGTCTCTATAGGATCTGTAGGGTCCATAATTAGAAACTCTTCTGGAATATCAATCACTGCATCCCCATCATTAGGCTCTGACACTATCCCATCGCCAACAGCCAAAATCCAGTTAGAAAAATCTTTTAGATCTTTTGCCTCTTCGTCCGATAGATTGTTCGAACAGAGTCTCATATTCTTAGTAAGTTGCAGAACCTTGCAATGTTCCCAGAGATAAGAAGAGTTCATAGAAGCCAAAACAATCTCAGTTCTTAAATTCCAGTATCCTTCTGTATTATTCTACGTATTCTCCTACGTATTATATTTTGACGGATTTCTGACGGTTTTGGCCGTCGGTATCCTTCTGTTTTCTTTTAGTGTCACATGAATAATTTTTATATATCATATTTTAGTAATTATCGTTGTATTTCCTAAAATGCATTGCGATTAAAAAATATAATTAATAATTATTATACTTGTTGTAGTTATATTTGACTAGATATTATTATGTTTTCTCAAATTCATTATTTTAATATTTTCAAACCGTATGTTTTATTGATTTTAAATTTTAATGATTATATATAATAATTAATAATAATGAGAACTAAATTTCTGGTGGAGTCTTCTAATTTACTTGAAGTTTAAGTAATTTTGTCAAAATACTAAACAATTTGGATCGAGATGGTTGTGCCTAATGATGTCTCTCGTGTAATTTGTTATCTATAATGCTATTTGTAATTTGTGTGTCGCTTAAGGAGTATATTTGTGTAAGTTTTTCTAAGTACAATGCTTGTGGTCGTTACGTGAAGTTGTAGTTTAGCAAGTTCGTATTAATTAATTGTTGTAGTTCTTTATTTGTATGAGGTTCATCAAAGTTCGCTCACAAAAAAAAGTTCATAAAATTAAAATGAACGGCCTGGAGTCGTCTATCTCTCGATAAAAGGATGTTTTCAAAATTCTGAGATATAAACTTTGGTGGTTGAAATTCTGAAGAAATTATAACATTAGTACAAATCAAGCGATGCAGAAGGATATAATTCACTTATGCTGAAATGTTTTTTTTGTTACCTAAGAAGCTGGAAAAATATGAGCAACGAAACATAGTTTTATGATAAATTTAAACGAATATAAAAGATAAATACAGAATCTTACTAACAAACTGAAGTTATAAACGTAAAAATTGAGAATATGTAAGAGAGGTTTGGTAATTATCGCTAAAGTAAAGCTCATTTGATTAGTCATGTGTTTTGTCTTCAGATAAAAGTTAAGAGGAGGCTAACCTTTTCATCAAGGAGGACATTGTCTACTCCATCAGCTCCCCTCCTCTCTTCACTCACTCCCAGAAACGCATCGGAAGAGTCACCACCGCCTGAAGACAATGTCCAGACTTCAAATAGGAACGCAGCATATGGGGATGTCATCATTATTTAAGAGTTTTCTTATAAGGAAGAAAAAGATAAAATTGGGAGAAACATGTAGTTTAGGAGAGGTGTTCATAGGAAAGGGAGGGGTGGATAAAGAGAGTTAATGAAGAAGCTTAATACATGATTTCAATGACAATGAGCGGTGTTGCAGAGTCGGAAATGGTAAAAGACTTGAAGCATCATTCTCATTTTCCAAACTCTTTGTTTCTTCAACAGCGGGTGGTGGCTTCGTGGACGGACAGAGGTAAACAACGTTTAGAGAAGAATGTGAATATCATATTCGGCCTCTTAACGCCTTTATCTGGTGATGGTGATAACGCAAGCTTTGTCAACACTTCTTTCTTTACCTACATTCATTACAACACAAAGGGATAAACAGATTCTGTCTCAGGCCAAACACAATTGCTGGTTATGAGAAAGATCAGTAACTAACCTGCCAACTGTTATCCTCGAAATCTGATATCTTGCACACTTGTTCTCTTAGTTTGGTCTTTGGAACATCTGGGAACTTCTGCTGCATTGTTGAGACCTGTCACGTCACCACGCCAATTTCTTGTTAGATCAAATCTAAAATATCTAATGTGAAAAAGTAATTTGTTTCGAGAAAAAGCTACTCAAAATTGTTGGTAAAATCCGAGTCTGGTATGGATCTTGATTTTGAAGCTGATGGGGGGAGTGCTCAGACTCCAAGATGACTTCCCCGCTGCTTCTTGATCCTCATCTTGTATGTCATTGATCGATATCTCAATGAGTGAAGAGTAGCAATGCACGGACCACCAGAGCTCGCAGACATATCTGTTCTATTTTCTGTGTCCCCTCTAGATCTTTAGAGGCTAAAATAGAGATCTTCACATGTAAGGGCGTGATCAGTCAAACTCTGCAGCTTTTTTTTTTCTTGATGTAGTAGTGCGCGAAACTCTTGACTCTCTTGATCTTTTTGCTTACTTAGATGGAGGTGAACTTGCATCATGTTCAGACGGATAAATCTTCATTCTGTCCACTTGGATCCCTGAACCAAACAATCACAAGAGTTTACATTGAGAAACTTTTTCCACCTAAGAAAAACCATTCGTTAGTTAACCCAAGCTTTCACAAAGATGGGCGAATTGCAATATTCAGCTGTTTTAGATTCCTAGACTATGATAACTTTTGAATTTATGCAGAGCTATTTAAAATACTTTTTATACCTCATCTTCCGAGAGATACCCATCAGGGTTTAAAGACTGTTAAATTCAGCCATATAATCATGTTTAACAAAGACATATTTGTGTAAGTATTGATAATATGATGATGAATTAAAAATTTGGTATTACAGTACTGATGTCGTTACCTTTTCCCATCTTGTATCATAGGAGGAGGATGATGTCCATGTGCTCGCTGTTATTCTTGATGTTACGTTAATCCCTGAAGCAGGTTTTGATTTCTTATAGGAAAGTGAACCGATTGAACCCTAATCTACATTGAAGAGAAAGACAACGACATCAGTAGGAGGAGGATGATGTCCATGTCCTTGTGCTCGCTGTTATTCTTGATGTTACGTTAATCCCTGAAGCAGGTTTTGATTTCTTATAGGAAAGTGAACCAATTGAACCCTAATCTACATTGAAGAGAAAGACAACGACATCAGTAGGAGGAGGATGATGTCCTTGTGCTCGCTGTTATTCTTGATGTTACGTTAATCCCCTCTAGATCTTAGGAAACCATATATAATAAGAGATAGTGAATACATCAAAACATGAAGCTTACATACTGTAACCGTAAGAACTAATCACTTTGTTGTTACCTTTTTTTTTTTGATAAAATCACTTTGTTGTTACCTAAGAAGGGGCTTTGTATATAATGTAGCTTTGGATGTTGCAATGGTTGATAAGCATTTTAGAAAATATACTCTATCTTTTATTATATAAAGCAGAAGTCAACTGAAAGATGTGTAATTGACACCTGTCTTTTAATTTTTCTTAAAAAAATCGTTTATCCTTAATGACAGAGTTTGGTAAGAAAAATAGGTAACTGTTTTTGTGATATATAATTTCGTATAGTGATTAAACGATTAGACAAATTTTTTTTTGTATAAGCCCATTAAGCCCAATGGTACTATACAAATTCTTTCTTACTGGATAAGTACACGTTTTTGACAGTTCTCTTAATAAAAAGTCACTCCTCCACTAACAATAATTTTAATTTATTTATTTTTTCTGTAACTATAACTTTTTCCACTTTCTTCTTCATCCTCCCTGTGACTTTTGCTCAACTCCACCACTAGAATCTTCAGTTAACCTCCTTTATATATAGAAACAGAGACCTATTGCATGTAGATTTCAGTTTCATTTTTCACAGGTAATTTATGTTCTCTACCTCTAGCTCTTTTTAATTTTTTTGGGTTCATAAATCTGTAACTTTATCAAAGATTCCCCATTATTTATATCTATTACAAGTTCCAGATTCTAATCTGATTATTTTCAGTTACCTTGCAGGTATTGTTCTAGCTATGAGCAAGAAGAAGCTTGATTTCACTCCTATTGCTCAGTTAAATCCAGTTTCTGAAAATGAAATCTGGAAAATTAAGGTTCGAGTTGCCCGGATGTGGCGATTTCAGAACAGCGATAAACCTGGAGATGTTGGTGGAATCGATTTAATACTTGTGGATGATAAGGTACATACTGGAATTCTGTGTTTTTTTTATGTTTATATGTTATTGATAACTCTTCTTATCGTGTTCTCACAGGGAGATCGTATACAAGCTTGCATTAGAGGAAAACTGATATCCAAGTTCGAAAATGAGTTGGGAGAAGGAGACTGTTGTATTCTAATGAATTTTAAGTTGTCTCCTAATCTCGGAAGTTACAGAGGAACACCACATCCTTTCAAGATATTTTTCTCTTGGTTAACACACGTAAAGAAGAATTGCGAGGAGATTCCAAACAACTCACTTCGTTTTAATTGCATATCTTTTGATGAGCTCCTTTCTCTGAAGCATGATGAAAAAGTTTTTGTAGGTATGTGATTTAACCAAAAGTTAAATATAATGGTCTTTATATTTTGTTTCATGTATTTATGGAAGTTTTTTTCTATCTACAGATGTAATTGGCGAAGTTGTTGGACCTTGTGATCTCAAGGAGATTAGTGTGCGTAATGCTCCATGTAAAATTTTAAATCTTTAACTCAAGGATTGTGGGTTAGTGTTCTTGAAACTTCTAACTAGGATGTTTAAAGTGTATTGATATTGACTATCTTTTAAAGCATGTTATTTCTTTTGTAGTGATTCAATAATTAATTGTGTATTTTGGGAAAAATATGCTGAAGACATCCAATCCTATGTACAAACCTTCGCTGGTGGAGCTATTGTTATGCTTTGCAGTCTCATGAGAATTAATATTTACAATGGTAATCTGTTCATATTACTATAATTTTTTTAACCCAAATATTAATGTCTGTCATTTGTTTTTGAAGGAAAATTCACAATTCAAAGTGGAAAATCTTCCACAAAGCTGTTCATTAATTCTGACATTGCTGAGATAAATGAATCCAAAGAAAAGTAAGTAGTTCAGTTTACTTTTCATTTCATATTTTCTTATATTTTTCTATTTCTGATTAATAACATTAATTTACAACAATAGAATGCCAAAAGATGTTATCTCAACAACATCAGCTGGCTCCACTTTGAGTTTGTCATATTCTTCTACCCAAGTTACTTCGAATCATATTCCATTTGACAATCGGCTTACTATTTCTCAGCTGTTAACATCATATGAGGTAAGTTGTGTTTTGTATTCTTTCATGAAGTTTTTAAATCAGTAACGCAGCCTTTCATTTTAATTTTCTTTGTTTTTGGTAGGGAACAAGGTGTTGTATATATGCAACAATATGTTGACTTAAAACCGAGGTTCCTTGGTGGTATCTTGCATGTCCAACTCCAGGATGTGCCAAGAAAGTAAACCACTACTTAAACCCAGAAACTGAAGAAATAGAAATGGATAAGTTTGAATGTGAAGGATGCGAAAAAATTATTGGTTCTACAAAGACAAGGTTTTTCACTACTCAATGTATAGCTTCCATTTATTTTTAGGTCAGAATGTTAAACTATAGTTTATTTTGACAGATATCAGGTTCATTGTAAAGTCTTGGATCATACAAGAACCACTTCTTTTCTCATGTTTGACAGGGAAGTCATTCAACTGATTCAAAAATCTGCATATGAGTTGTTGGAGCAACAAGTTCAGGTAGAAAAGATCTTTTTATTCATCTCAAGTCTAAACTTATCTATTGTTGTATGTATTTTCGCAGTTTAACCGTGAGAATGAGTACCCTCGAGAACTTCTAGCTTTAGAGGGTCGCGAGTTCGTCTTCACAGTTAACAAACCTGAAACATCCAAGAATTTCACACCATCTACTTTTAAAGTAGTTAACATGACGGATGACCCTGCTAAAATTTTATGATTTCACACTGATGATGCCAATGAGGTAAAAATGAAAAAAACTCTTCATTGTCATGTTTTTAATTAGTTCTCAGAATTTATTTGTTGTTATTCTTAGTAGTTTTGCAAATTTTCTATGTAGACTGACAGTCCTGCGATTGGTCCACATTTCTCCATATCCACCGAAACCACTATGAGTTTGGTATTGTTATTCCACTTGAACTTATGTTTATGCTTCACCTTTTTTAAAACCAATGTTTTTGCAAATAAGAAAGTATGAAAAAAATAAAACTCTGTCTATGTAAATAGGGAACACTTGCAATCAATATAGTCTTTTTTTGTTATGTAGGATTTTCATAGTATACACTCAGTTCTTATATATTTTTTATTTTTTCTATTTTTCAGGTCAATGATGTTTTTGAAGAGTCTAACAATTCGATAAGTGCTTCAATAGAATCAACATCAACTCCAACCAAAAAGAGACCAAGTACGTTAGCAATTGAGGATTGTGTGCCACAAGATTCTTCAAAGAAACTTAAAGGAGATGTTCCACTTTTAGCTGAAGAAGATGGACAATTTTCCTCAACAAAATCAAAACCAAAAGTTGGGCAAGTGACTAAAAATGATTGTACGAAACCTTCATCAACCAAGGAGAGAAAAACAGCAACTCTAATTCCAAAAAAGGAGAAAAAATGATGATTTTTCTTCTTTGGTTTTTAGTTTCACAAAATCTAGGACCTCTTCTTTTTATGTACATGTTTTTTAGGTGTAATGCTGTATTTGTCAAGTTTGAAAACATGGTTTGTGTTTCTTTCCTAGGCTTATGAATGTAGCTATTTATTATCAATTGTTACTTCTTCTTAGATCAGCTGACTTTAGTTTTTATTATAATCTATAAACGTTTGTTTTTCCCTACCATTATAATATGTTATATTTTTAGGATTCTGTTATAATACAAACAACATGTCACCCGAAATATTTTCAAATTATTTGGTATGACTCAGGTTTATATTTGATTATTAAGATACTAAAACTTTTGGTATAACTCAAGTTTATATTTTATTATTAACTCAGGTTTATATTTGCAATATTTTATATCTTATTCTATTATCTAGATAAAAAATCAAACAACTATAAAAGAAAAACTAATCACTTAAGAGACATCTAAGCAATTTAATAATTTATATTAAAAGATTTACTTACTTTGGAGGGCTTTTAAATTGTTTAAAAAAAAAACCGTTCGGGTAGTCTCCGGTTTTCTACTCTCTCCACTTCTTCTTCTTCAACATCATTCCATGTAAATCACTTCAATTTCTTTTATGCTAAACTTAAAACAGGTAAAGCTCATTCTCTTTCCAGAATACAATACGTTGAACTTATAGAACTCATATGTTTTACAGGACAAGCATAATGAGACTCAAAGGAAAAGAAAAGGCCACTCAGAGTAGAATCAACGTAAGACAAGGTATTTAGAATATTTTTTGTTTTGTACATGGCAGTTACTTTTCTTCTAAGCAACCCAACTAATCTAACTTCTAGTGTGATCATTTCTCATGGCAGAAGATATTCAGTTAAGGAGCCAACGTATTCGCATTTTGAGAGATAGGAGGAAGAACTCAAAACCAAGAGTATCATGTAGTGGTAACTCAGCAAGCTCCAGCCAGTACTCTATTCCTACTTCCTTGCAAGCTATTAATCCAAATCCAGGTATTAACTGAAGCAATTTATCATTATTTATTGTTTTACTATACATATAACATCACAACATCACGAACTTGTGATTTTGAATGCATAACTATAACAGCATATCAAGATTCTACATAATGACCTCATTTTTTTCATAGATTACGAAGACTTTGGCGATCCAACGTTCGAATGCAAACATTGTGGTGCTTTAATGTGGTATAATGAGCGTATAAATAAAAGACGCGTTTCAGCACCTCCAGAATTATCAATGTGTTGTATGCATGGAAAGATAGAGCTTCCTCCCCCTCCTCAGCTGCCTCAAGTCATTCTCGATCTTCTACTTAACGGAGATACCCGAAGCAAAAATTTCCAAGAGAATATTCGTGCTTATAACTCGATGTTTGCATTCACTTCTATGGGAGGAAAAGTTGACACGTCAATCAACAAAGGGGGTGGCCCTCCTGTTTTCAGAATGTTAGGTCAAAATTTCCACAGAATTGGAAGTTTACTCCCTGAAGATAACTCACGACCCAAATTCCAACAGCTTTACATATTTGATACAGTCAATGAAAATGCAAACAGGATCGCAGCATTCAGGTATGTAATTGTTCTTAAATTTTCAAATAAGATAACATTTTTATATGTATTATATATTATATATTCTAAGTTTTCTATTTTTTTAATATCCATTACTAACATTCATTCATAACTGCAGTTCAAAAAGAACGACACCAACTGCTAATATAAAAATACTTAGGGATGATATTGTGGAAGCAATCAAAATAATGCTAAATGAGTCCAACCCATACGCAAAGATTCTTCGGACAGCAAAGGACCATTTTGGAGATTCATTAGAATCTATGAATGTCAAAGTGAGATTGATTTCAGGTCGTTCGACAGATCCTAATACATATAATCTGCCCACTTGCTCAGAAGTTGCTGCACTTTTGGTTGGAGATATTGATGTAGAGTTTGAGGAGAGAGATATTGTGGTGGAAACAAAAAGTAGACATTTGGCAAGAATCAGTGAGCTTCACTTTTGGTTACAATATCCACTTTTGTTTCCATATGGAGAGGATGGTTACCATATCGATCTGCACCTAAAGAGAACAACAACAACAACATCAAGAAACCCAAGGTTTAGAGTGAGCATGACAGAGTTTTTTTCTTACAAGCTCATGGAACGTGGCAACCACTTCAACGCACTATTGCATTCTGGAAAACTGTTTCAGCAATTTATTGTTGATGCATACACAATGATGGACTCAGAGAGAATTGGATATCTCAGGCTCAATCAAAAGACTTTGCGTGCAGACAACTACATCAATATATCAGGTTTTGCTTCTACCGGAAATAAAGATTCATCAATGTGCGGAAGAAAGGTTGTCTTGCCTTCAACTTTTGTGGGAGGTCCAAGATAAATGCATGAAAAGTATATGGATGCAATGGCTGTTTGTTCACATTTTGGCTATCCAGATTTATTCATAACTTTCACTTGCAATCCTAAATGGCCTGAGATTACAAGGTATCTAAGTTCCCGACGCTTACATACATAAGACAGACCTGATATTCTTTCACGGGTGTTTAAGATGAAGTTGGATTCTCTTATTTTTGATATTAAAAACAACAACCTCTTTGGCCCATCAGCAGCAGGTAAATTCTGTTACATATGTATAACAAACATATATTTTGTGCTTTATTTTATTCTAATGATATTCTTTTGAAATAAACAGTGATATACACCATTGAATTCCAAAAAAGAGGACTTCCGCATGCTCATATATTGCTGTTTTTACAGCGAGAATCAAAGCTTCCTACCACAGATGACATAGACAAGTTTATATGTGCTGAAATTCCAGATCGTGCATCTAATCCAGCATTATATGATATAGTCAGAGATATAATGGTTCATGGTCCATGTGGGTTAGCAAATCCAAAATCGCCATGCATGGTGAAAGGAAAATGTACCAAGCGATTTCCGAAAGATTTTTCCTCTCATACTTCCATTAATAAAGAAGGTTTCCCAGTTTACAGAAGAAGAGATGATGGAAAATCAATGGAAAAAACGGTATTGAGATTGATAACAGGTACATCGTTCCGTATAACCCACAGCTACTACTCAAATATCAAGCTCATATCAATGTTGAGTGGTGTAATCAATCAAGAGAAATCAAGTATTTGTTCAAATACATCAACAAAGGAAATGATCGAGTCACTGCAAAACTACTGCAACATTCAGAAAATGGAGGAAGTTCTGAAGATACTTCTCAAAATATAGTAGATGAAATCAAGCGTTTCATTGATTGTCGGTAAGTTTTTAATACTAACCCTCAATATAACAATCTCACATTTTAAAATTAAATATCTCACAATTGTTTTCTAATTATTTTAGGTATATATCACCATGTGAAGGAATGTAGAGAATATTGGGGTTTGAGCTACATTACAGTAGCATACCTATTCAGAGGTTGTCTTTCCATCTTCCTGAAGAGCATAACGTGACCTATGATGACGACGAAGATATTGATGACGTACTGTCAAAAGAGAAAAACCAGACATCACAATTTTTGGAGTATATGAAAATGTGTAGTCGAAACTCTGATGCAAAGGAATTGACTTACATCCAGTTCCCTTACTTTTTTGTGTGGAACAAGTCGATACCAGAATGGACTCCACGTCAACGAGGTTCAGCTGTTGGTAGAATCCATCCTACTTCACCATCTGCTGGTCAACGATTCTACTTGGTGATTCTTTTGAACAAAGTTAAAGGACCAACCTGCTACGAAGATATACGTACTATCGATGGCATTACATATCCAACCTACAAGGAAGCTTGCTATGCTTTAGGTTTACTTGATGATGATAAGGAGTACATTGAAGCAATCAAGGAAGCAAGTCAATGGGGGTTAGGTGTTTACTTGCGTCGAATATTCACTTATCTTTTAGCTTCAGAAAGTTTGTCACACCTTGTACATGTTTGGTCGGAAACATGGCATCTACTTTCTGATGACATTTTATATATGCAACGACGAATCCTCCAACAGCCAGGTTTGTCCTTACAATAATAATATATAAAAATTTACGTGAGCATGGCCAAAAAGTGAGTTAGTTCTTTTATTTTTCTGTAAATGAAGATTGAGTTTTGTGGAGATTCTTTGTGTACGGTTAGCGTCACATTTTTGATGGTGGCGACGACAGGATAATGATAATGCATGATCGTTTTCATGTTTACTGTTATAGTTTCTTCAGATTTTTATTTTATTGTCTTCAGTTTTTTTGCAGATGTTTTTTTATTTTAAAGAGATTTTGCAGAGTTTTATGATCAGTAATTATTGACTTATACTAAATACTAGACCTATATTATATTTACTTTTGTACAATATATATATATATATATATATATATATATATATATATATATATTTTTTAATACTTTGTAGAACATAATATTTTTCCAAATTAGAAAGTTTCACAGTTGTTATAAGTAATTTGCTATACATATTATTGATTTTTAATTCCTTAAATTTTCAGGACTAGAAATGTCAGATGATCAGCTAAAGAATCAAACTTTGTTGGAGATCGAAAAGCAGTTACGCTCCAGTGGAAATACACTCGAAAACTTCAAACCAATGCCATTTCCCACGAACAGCAATATTCCTTCTATGGTAAATAGACTGATAAGTGATGAGCTGTGCTACGACAGAGACGTATGTGCTCAAGAATATCAAAGATTACAGTCTAGATTGACGTTTGAACAAAGGGATATTTATAATACTATCATGAAAGCTGTCACGACAAATTCTGATGGTGTGTTCTTTGTAAATGGATTTGGAGGGACAGGGAAGACATTCCTTTGGAAAACTCTATCAACATACATTCGTTCAGTTAGAGATATTGTCTTGAATGTAGCTTCAAGTGGAATGGCAGCATTGTTACTAGATGGAGGACGCACAGCTCATTCTCGGTTTTCAATCCCATTAAAGCTGCATGAAAGTTCCACTTGCTCATTT